GATGAACTGCCATACCTAACATACATACACATCCTGGCATTATGAACTACTATACTGTACACACCATGACATTTTGAACTACCATACTGTACATACCATGACATTTTGAACTACCGTGTCTTTCATACGCAATGGGAAACATGTAATGCCCTTCTTTTTATAATTCCAGAATATACTTCCGTGGCTTAAATACCAAGCCAGTGAAAACTACAGTGGGTAATGTACCATTTCGATTCATACCGACATGGCAATTTATAAATGCCGATCAATTATTTTAAAACATTGAAAGCCTTTTACTTAGTACATTTCTTATTTTATATGAAAACAAAATACCCAATGGTCCTTGATCCTGCGGTTCCTCTATACATGCTGACGGTTGGTGACATTCGTATCTCGAGCAGCACATTGCCTCCGGCCAAGTACCAAAGATGTCCTGCAGTCTAATAGGCGACGTTCCATAAGGCAACTCCCCCGGAATGTCGGGACCAGGCTCTTCTTTGATTGAAAGGTCGTGCACGTCCATCATAGAGATGATTGACTGAACGAATTATCGAGAACAGGTAATAATAACATGCTAAGTAGAATGATCAATTCGATAATTACAAGTCAACTGTAAATTGAACTTTTGTTTTAGTTCACACAAGTTAACAGGTGAACAGGCATCACATGTTGTACGGTAGCGCTATGATGCTTCCACATACTAATTCAGATGAACTTAATACATTACATGAGGTAAGCACACTGATAAAGCAAACGAAATAGAAGGTTAGTGTATCTGTATATAATTAGCTTCTGAATGCGATACAAGGTTGAAGAGAAGTAAGAAGCCTACCTGGTATCCGTTTTTCTGAAATGTTCTTAACTTTGTCTCTCTGTCCACCGCCGTTATGTTTGTAGCATTAGAAGGACGCATTTGGAGTCTAGTCAGGGACATGACTCTAGGATCCCTGTGGGTGACGGTGAATCTGAATGGTTTTGGGTACCATTTGGTAATGTTGAAAGGTACGAACCAATTAGGACAATCATTGGGGTCGAGACATCTGGTCGGGAATGCTGTAAATAAGTTATCATAAGCGTTGATTGCAATATTGTTATCGGTTGCAATTGTTGATAACAGTTGTGTAAATTCTACTTTTCTTCTGACGTATGGATGTTTCAAGTTGTTTGTTTTGTTTCTGGCAGAACATTTTTCGAGCCACGTGTCGACCTCTGTGTCCTCGCCACCAACACCGAACGTCTTTAGGGGGTAGTTAGCTGCTGAGTGATATGACTTTATGGTTGATATTATAGTTCTGATAAACGCCTCTGTCTCCTTTGCGCATGGGTCAACATTTCCAATCCTGAAAAGGTTTGGTTTGAGAAGAGATGTCTTATCTAACTCTGGTAGACTCCAGTTCATTGTTTGATTTCTGCTTGCTTTACTATAGGCCCGTATGGCTATTTCTGATGCCCGCATATTACTGTCAAACCTCCACATAGGAATTATTTCAATGTGTAGTTGTTTCGCCAAAGAAAGGAGTTGCTGATACTCCTTGGCTGTGTAATATCCTGACCCTGTTCCAGTGCCTGATGGATCAGATCCTAACTGTGAAAACAGGCACGACTGCTCTGTTAAATCGTGGCACCTTCTCGAACCCACCTTAAATTAGAATGAGCCAAAAATGGTAATTGGAGTAGAAAGAAATAGAATAGAAAACAAAGACAAATTGACAGCTGCCGTCAACTTATTTTAAAAAAATGATGAATTCACTGTCTATAATTAATAATAACAAAACAAGCAATAATGATGGAATAGCATGAGGAAATGTTCGCAATATATGTTGTAGATAATTGCCGATCAACACAAGGCTAATTGTTTTCTCGATGTTTGTTAAACATATATATCCCATCGTCATATAAAAGTATATGCTGATTTTTGTATGTATTCTAAAAATTAAAATGTGATTGAATTGTTACCACATTAACAAAGCACTATCGTCTGAGACCAGTTATGCACGACTCACCTGTACCTGCACATGCATGTATTATAGGTAAATAATGCTGCGTTATAACACAGGTAAAAGCCAAATTAATATGTAATAAGGTCCGCATTCCTTAAACACTGATGGAACAAGGTGTAGTCATTTTAAGTCGATTTATCAGTTTATGATGTACCTATTGTTAATTCCTAATTGTTATTGGGGAGAAATATCGTGTGACGAGGCTGTTACACTGAAATTTGGAATATAACCCATTCCAAGAATTGAGAAATATTACAGGCCGTTACTTAAAGTAGGTAAGGTGATTTCTAGTATCCATGTCTGTACGTATGTTACATACCTCATTCTAAAATTGGAATATGCCTGCTGTAAATTCCCAAATCAATTTAAGGGAGTATATCGTGTGACGAGTGTGCAAATCTTTTCCAGACCACCAAGAACAGATTTAGATATGACAGACTATATTCAATTGCGACACAAGTGATAAATGAATTGAATGTAAAATTACATAATATTACAATACATTAAACAATCATGTTTTTTTCAGATCAGAATTTATATTTTTCACCTTCATAAAAGTCAATAACCGATAAATCTGTTACATGTTAATGTAATTTGAATGATTTCACAAAAGGATATGTACGAGGGCAAGTCAATACATTCTGTCATTTGTGTTAAAAAGCATATGTATGATGCACGCAATCGCGCTATTCATGACGTAAAGGCTGCGCCATAGTCTCGCCTTGGTATACCGGCAAGACACTGGAGTAGTGCACTGCCACGAGCTCTCCTAGAGGCATGCGGTTTCTCAGAGAGCATTTTGTTTACTACCTTCTATTGCTTTAAAAACAACATAGCATTTCTGGTATGAAGCATTATCGTTAATTAGCTTCACTTGAACGCTTTCTGATGTAGAATATATTGACAGGCGTCACTATTATTTCTCTGTAAAACTTGGCAGTAATCGTTTTCCATTCCTTGCACAGTATCACAACCACAGGCCAACCAGAAATGAAAAAACAATAATCTCGGCGCTCTTTCATGGTTTCCCGACAGCCGTTGCGTGTTATTAATGAGTTCAAAGTAATATACCCTAGACTCGCCCCCTGTAAGTAACACAGATAGGTTTCTTGAGTTGTAATTATTGTACTTTTTCAATATATTTTTAGCAAATTTCAAACTTTTGCACTTTTGTTCAGATGGCAGCAAAACGGGGATCCATTAAACAAAAAGCTTCTTGAATTTCCAGCACTTTGTCAGAATGTGATGTGTACTGCCTTCTAAAATGCAAGCCATATGAGCCATCTCAGAAATCGTATAACGACCATCGTCCTTAATTATTTCTTTCACAGCAGCAATATTCAATCTGACAGACGTTCAATCCTTATATAATGTGTCGAATTCTTGTCGGATGATGTCGAAAGTTTGCACGTGCAATGGTTATGCTTTTGCAGTGCGCCAATGCGCTGACCTATTTCATTGATCATTGGTACGGGAACTGTATTGTGACAGAAGATATTGAACGGCCCTCGAATAGATAATACATACCGTATGGAAATTGGGCATGGCTGTTATTTCAAGTCGGACAGCATAGTCATTCGCTAGCAACAGTTGAAGTTTATTTAATTTAAGCAGTGCCATAATACGAAGCAGCTTCCGTAATGTTTTCATGTCCACAAAGTTAGATGCAGCATCCAGCTGAAGTCCTCGGTATTGAAATCGCGGCGAGTCGATAATCTTTATTTCAGGAACCATCAGCTGCTTCCCTAGCGTTGGGTGTTCCTCCTTCTCGATGAGATTTAAAAGGGTTTGAAACCCATTGAGTAGACCATGTGTTGTAGCCCCGACGATATGTACGTAAGAGTGATCGGCGCTAATAGTAATATTGTACCACTCGCCAGCATTCTCAATACGAGGGGCACCCTTCAACTGGATCAGTATCACATTATGTAACAGAGGTTTTGGAGTTTCATTCATATTCAGTGTACCTATTTGAAATAAAATCTTATTAAATAAAACAATCAAAACGTGTGTTTGTTTAAATCATGTTTTTGTATTATAAACAAGTATTTGTCATACAGTTAAGACAATATCAACACTTGTAGGACATATCAACACTTGTAGGACATATCAACACTTGTAGGACATACCAACACTTGTAGGACAATACCAACATTTGTAGGACAATACCAACATTTGTAGGACATATCAACACTTGTAGGAAAATACCAACATTTGTAGGACAATATCAACACTTGTAGGACAATATCAACACTTGTAGGACAATACCAACATTTGTAGGACATATCAACATTTGTAGGACATATCAACACTTGTAGGACATATCAACACTGGTAGGACAATATCAACACTTGTAGGACATATCAACACTTGTAGGACAATATCAACATTTGTAGGAACATATCAACACTTGTAGGACATATCAACATTTGTAGGACAATATCAACACTTGCAGGACAATAACAACACTTGTAGGACAATATAAACACTTGTAGGACAATATCAACNACTTGTAGGACAATATCAACACTTGTAGGACAATATCAACACTTGTAGGACAAAACCAACACTTCTAGGACAATACCAACACTTGTAGGACATATCAACACTTGTAGGACATNTTACCATACCGAACATATATACACATCCTGGCCTTATGAACTACCATGCCTAACATACATTCATATTCCGGCATTATGAACTAACATACCTAACATACATTCACATTCCGGCATTATGAACTAGCATAC